CACCCATATCTACAACCTTCCTTCCTGTTCTGTCCTGTCCTTTACCATTATTTATGCTTAGTCTGGTAGAGTAAAGGGTCTCCTGAGTTACAAGCTGATGTGTTGCAATACAAAAATAAAAACTGTGTAAAAAAAATAACACAGTAGAAAAAATTGGTTAGAATTCTCTGGTGGTGTCCAAAATACTTCATTGGCCACTATTTCAAACCAGTATTAGTTTGGTCGTATTGCATATTCAAGAAGGACTGCAGTAGCAAACACAGACTGAAAGAACAAACTATGTTTTTCTTTCACCTTGTACCAGAAAAGCAAAGGAGGCACTCATATCAGACTGGAGAGTCTCCTTTATTTCTAATGATTTTCTAATTGAAAAGTCCAGGTTGTATTCTTCCACCACCCACCCCTTTCTCAGCAAAGATGCCAGTTCTCAATTTATTAATCTCTGTGTTGGATCATTTAGTACTGTAGAGAAATTGCTGTTGCTCAGTTAATTTGTTCCAGATCCACTTTGCAGGAAGGAAAAAGAAGAGAGTGTCATTGGTCACTTTTGTTACATTTCTCTATACCGATCTGTGAACTCCCCTGAATCCAAAGTATGTAACTTGATATGGCTGCCAATTTGACATTTAGCAGCAGCCCTTTCTGTATGTTGCCAAGCACTGTAAATACTGTGCTTTCTAAAGATGCTGAATGATGTAGCACTACTCTTGGGCTTTTCTCTCTTGCCTTCATTGTGCCTTATGCAGTAAGCTCTAGGTTCTTCTTTTGGGACTTCCCCTACCCCCTCTTTGCATGGGATTACCCTCTGTACCACCTAGTTTTTCCACTTATGGATTCATTGATACACAGCCAGCATTCTTTACAGAGCCACTCAAGAGATGACAGCAGTTCCTCTCAGACTTTGTTGGGTGTGTGGTAGGGATATTTATGGTACCAGTTTAACTTGGGCTGCAAAGCATCTTTCTCTTTCCTCAAATGCCAGACACTGATGGGGTTCCTATTTGCTGCTCTCTCAAGAAGTCAAATTAATCAATCATACTTACAGCCTTTTCTGTAGAAAATGTTGTATTCTATGTTCTGCTGAGTGCTTATTTCATCCAGTGAATAGTTGCATGAAACCTGAACAGATATACATCACTAAAAAAAATGGGATGGTTACAGAATGTCAGCTGTTGCTTTAATTTAAATGTTGAAGCACATAGAGCCTCTTGAGTGGCTTGGTAAGTGTCATGCTAATGTGTATAACCATCCTCAGTTTTTTTTTCTCTCCCCCATGCCTTCTTCTAATGTTTGTTTCTCCTCCTGCCCTCTTCACTGTGTCTGTCACAGCGCTCTTAAAACTCCCAGCTGGTCTTGTATTTATTTTATGCTTTCATTCTTTTTTAATAAGTACATTACTTGCAAGCAGTGAATTGAAAACAAAACAAACAAATTAAAAAACAAATACCCTTAGTTGGTTGGACAGTTTCTTACATTGTGTTACATTTAACTGTTCTTTTGACAGCCCAGTTTTTAAAGCCAGGTTCGTATGGAAATGCTTTCACTCCACCTGCACCGCTTTTGGAAATAGCATAACGGCTTCATTTGTCTGTTTCTTTTTAGTGCATTCGTAACACAACACATTTAGCACAACGTCTCATCTGGGTAGCAATTTGTTTCCTTGTGCAGGACTGGGGGTAGAAACGCAGCTGTTTTCTGTCAGAATTTCTGATGCTGACATGTTACTCAAAAACTGCTACATTTTTCAATACTAACATTTACAGAACTGTTTTTAAGAATCATTGTAATAATTACATTATTCCTTTTGTTAGTTAACTCAGTTGGCAGAAAAGGAGCTAAAAAGGGGTTATCTATGAAGAAGATTAGAGATCAGCATGGTTTGCAAAATTGCAAAAGCTGTACAACATCATTGTCCAAATGGAGCATCCTGCCCACTAAAATGGATCAGTGAATGGCAACAGATGGATATTGATGTTTCCAGATGGACTACAAAACTAGGGAAGGCGTGGAATGCATTTGTATGCTCAACATACAAATTATAATTTATTGTTTCAATAGTAGCTTGGCTAATCTGAAGACTGTTTTTGAAGTCCCACTTCTACTGAATAAAGAAAAGTTCCTTATTAACACTGACCACCCTAAAAGTATAGTGCATCTTTACTGAGCAAATAAGCACCGTTTGTTTCAGTGTACAGGGTTGCAGCTTAAAATACATGCATAAGACATCCTCCCATGCATGCTCTTACATAGTAAGATGTCTTATGCTAAACCAGACCTTTGATCCATTGCAATGCAGTGTTTTTGGAAAGTCTCCCAGGTTTCAGATACTGTAGGAAAGTCTTTCTGAGTTTTGCTGTATGAAATAAGGTACCTGCAGAGCAATTTTGTTACTGTGTACGGTGACCCCAGATTTCAGGGATATCTATGATCCATATGTAAATTAAGACACACAGTTGTTTTTAAAATGGCACTTTTTTGCACTAATGTTAACATTAATACTTTAAAAAGTTTGATTTGCCACTTCCTGCAAATTTAATGAAATGAGCCCAAAGCATAACAGCTTTTCTTTTCCTTGTTGCATAGGCACATGTATAAAACTCAGTTTTATTCGTAAGTCTAGAAATAGTGCCACCTCATTCATGGTTATGTTGCACAAGTGGTAAGTGAGAAACAAGGAAAAAGACTTTTGCAGGATGGGCAAAGTTTAACAAGTATCTCTGATATCTCTTAGAGTATCTCTAAGTATGAATTGAAGGAGAGATACAAGATGCAGTTCTAGCAGACCTTTTGATATATCCCCATCCAACCTTACTTTCTTATCTACACACCTTAACAACCCAATTAATGTTTAAAATAAGTGGTTTTTAAGAGACTTGACTCGTTGAAGTACAAGCTGCCATAGTGCAATTTTTTGTAATGAAGCCCTTCACCTTTGGTACTCAGTGAAATTAAAAATGCCATATATGCATTTAGTCTTTCTTTCTTTCTTTCTTTCTTTCTTTCTTTCTTTCTTTCTTTCTTTCTTTCTTTCTTTCTTTCTTTCTTTCTTTCTTTCTTTCTTTCTTTCCTTCCTTCTTTCTTTCCTTCTTTCTTTCTTTCTTTCTTTCTTTCCTTCTTTCCTCCCTCCCTCCCTCTTTGTCCTCCTCCTCCTCCTCCTCCTCTTCTTTTCTTTTCTTTTGGTAAGGGCAGAGTAGTTTAACCCAATCTAATCCCCTCCAAATGTGACTACAACTCCAGTCATCTCCAGGCAGCATACCTATTGATAACCTATCTAAGCCTCAGATTTGAACCAGGGCTCAATTTGGAAGTTAGTGAAACAGGCTTTTGGCCAGTTCCTTCTAGTGTAAGGCTCACTGTCCATGCCATTTTCTTCCTTTTCAAGTGCTTTTTTTTGTAGAGATGTCCAGAATTAGATCCAGCATGTAAGTTTGAGCTGGAATTTCAAATGCGGAATAAAATGTAATTTGAATATATCCCTGAGTATGTTTGCAAAGTTTAGATGGAGACCACATTGCAAGATGGTGAGAGGGAGAAGAGAAATATGATTTCCCTTTCTGCTCCCCTGCTGTTCTTCCCTGACTTGGTTTTCTGCCCCAGCTAGTTTTAAAAATGAAAAAGGATGGGTGGGGAATGCTTGTCAGGGTGATGCACTCACCTTGTCCCCTGCATTGTCCTCTCCCTCCCCCATTACATGGAGTTGAAAATTCAGTGTTTCTGCTGGAAATATTAGTTCTTAGTTAATTATTCATATCCTAAATTATGTGGAATTAGAGGTATTCTTTTTAACACACATATAGGCTCTTTGGAGAGAAGTAGCTCTGCTCATACAGTGAATTCAGTTTCTTCACAGCTTCATTGTCAAGGCAATCTTCCATGTCTCCAAGATTAGCAGCAGGGCTTCTAGGTACTACCTAATCCTATTCTTGTTGCAGCACTCAAATATACTGGGATTTTATTATTATTATTATTATTTCCTTTAACTCTAATGCAAAAAGCTGGCATTGAATTGCTGCATCACTTCCCCTCCACTTATGTTAATTTCAGTCCCCTTTGATTTTTGTTTTCAAAGATGAGACATTATGCTTGTTGTGTTTTCTCCCTACATGCACTAATGGTACCTTGCTGTTTTAACCTGTTGCTAGGCCTGTTCCATTCTAACATCTTAGTACTTCTGTTAGCTTACATGTGAAATGCATCACCCAGTCTGTGCTTGAGCTCATTTTACTTTATATATATTTTTTATTTTTTTAATTGGTTAAAATTTTAAATTTGCTTTGTATTTTTTACTAACCTCACTTTTTCAGTTTAATAATTGGCTGCATGCTACTATATATACATATATATATATGTATCTATATATGTATATATAAAATTAAAAATATTTTTTAATTATTTTTTTTTTAAAAAACCCAATCAAGTCTAGCCTGGATTTTGCTCTGATTGTGTTTTGGTTTCTAGTGGTGGGGGCAAGTCTGACATTTAACAACTTAACTTGGTCTCTTCAAAGCCTGACACGCAAACAAGTTTTTTTTAAAAAAAGAATAAGACTAAGCACATTGATATTTTTTTTCTTTGCACAAATCAAGTGGTGCTCTCTAGGTGATGGATATGATTGTATAAACTAGCTTGATTTTATGCTTTTTAAATGTCAATTTTTTTATTTTCTCCCACATTGCTTTTTTTTTTCCTGTTATGCACAAAAGTTGCCCAGCACACCATCAGAAAGTGTGATGACCCTCCCTGAAACCTTGTTCCTGTGGAAAAATCTTGCCAGCAGGTTTTTTTTTGTTTATTTATTTTTGTTTTTGTTATTTTTTATTATGTAAATATCTTTTCCCTTTTACTGGGCATTCATATTGCCCATGAGTAGTTTTTCTTTTATTTCTTCTGCATGCATATGTGTAGAAAATTTTCTTGTTCATCATGTGTTTAAATGTCTGTGGAAGAGAAGAATATATTATTGGAATATTTTTGGTTTGTTTCTCTGTTCTGTCTGTCAGGATAATATTGGACACCGTTTGCTACAGAAGCATGGTTGGAAGCTGGGCCAGGGCTTGGGGAAAACTCTCCAAGGTAAGTAAGGAATTTGACCATTAAAACATATGTTGTACTTTGGGTTGTGTTTCTAGATGAAATTACTCCGCTCCCCTCTGCCCTCCTATTATACCCATTCAGTTTTATGTTCATCATACTGCATTCATACACTCAAATCCAGTATGGGGTCTGTGTTGTGAACTGTAGGCACATACAAGGCTGTATTTAAGTCAGGCTCAGGCTCAGAGTTGAGTATTAAAAGCAAGGAAGACAGTACAGGGACCAGGAGCAGATTTAGAAATGAAAACTTGTGGATTACCCTGTTGAAACGAGATGGCTGAGGATTGTACCAGGATGATTTTGGTTTGCAGGAGAAAGTGTAACAAAAAACAAGTGTGAAAGAAGATAAAAGCTTGAAAATAGTTATTTTGTCTAGGCAGCGTTTCCCAAATGTAGCTTCCCATATCCTGTTGGACTTTATACCATCACTATTGGGTGTTAGCATTGCTGACTGAGGTTGGTGAGAGCTGTAGTCTAATGCCATATGGACGCCTAAGGTTTGGAACCACTGGTAAGGAATATAATTCTTAACAATATATTTCAAAACTTCAAAGAAGTTTTAACTTGTTCAGTTCATGGCAATCCAGCTACAGAGGTCATCGTCAAGCGACTGTTTCCTATTAAAACATTGTTTTGCGATCGCTATTACGATAGCAAAGTACTCATCGTTAAGAGATTTCCTTGTCTAATGAGGTAATTGTCAAGCAGGGCACCACTGTATTTAGATAAGCAAGTTCTTAAATATTTCTCAATACAGTCATCTGTACAAGGGGATGCAGGGTCCTAAGAAGGTCACCCTGGAAGTAGAGTAGAAGCAGAAGCACAAAAATTCTCTAGTTGCCTATCTGTTTAGCTCCATGTTTTAAGTTCTGGCTTAGCAAGTTACACAATGAAATATTAACCCTGATGCCTGAACCCTAATCACTGGGCAGTGTGTGGCCAGTGATTGTGTGTGTGGTTTTTTTTTTTAAGAAAAGGAATTGCAATGTTGTGTTGAACACATCATTTAGTACAGTGGTGCCTTGCTTAACGGGCACTCCGTTTGACGACGAAATCGCTAGATGTGGATGTTTTTGCAATCGCAAAAGCAATCACAAAACAATGTTCCTTATGGGGGAATTTCGCTTCGCGACGATCGGTTCCCTGCTTCGAGAACTGATCATCGCAAAGCAATGATTTTCGGCCAGCTGATCAGTGGTTTCAAAATGGCTGCCGGGTAAACAAAATGGCCACCCGCTCTTTTCTGGCACGGATTCCTCGCTGCACAGGCAGCGAAAATGGCCATGCTATGGAGGATCTTCGCTGGACGGTGAGTTTCAAGCCCCTAGGAACGCATTAATTGGGTTTCAATGCATTTCTATGGGCTTTTAAAAATCGCATTACAACTTTTTCGTTTTACAGCGATTTCGCTGGAACGAATTAACGTCGTAATGCGAGGCTCCACTGTAATTCTGCAGTATAACTCTGTGACTTATCTTATCCTTTAAAAAATGTTGTTCAAGCTGTTCAAAATAAATGTCCAGTGCTCTGTTACATGGTTTTTGAGCATAATCAAGAAATAAGACTATTCGGGCACTAGGTATGAATCAATGAGTGGATGGTGAACATACACCTAAGTCTGATGTCTCAGGTCTCTACCTTGAAATTTCTCAGCTTAACACCTGAATAAGGTTGTCCTTGCAAGAGTAAGAAAGTGTCCTTATGAATTTAGCAAAGATGTTGGGGTGATTCCACAGTTCTCCAAAATTGAAATGGCTGTTAGCAAGCAGAGTTTGTGCGATAGTGGGAGACATGCAAAACTTGACTGAGGGTGTGGGTGAGTATTTTAACCTGTGAGGAGTGCTTGCAAAATTGGCATCTCTCTTTTAGTTGGAAAACCACTTTTTGGTTTGATCTCAGGCATTGTTCCTTGTTTGGAAGCTGACATGTTTTAGTTCCTTCTCTAAACCGTTGTGCTTGTGTAGCAGTTTTTGGGTTTCAGAAATGCTAAGCTTCTGTTGCTAGGAGAGAGTATGCTACAGAATTCTCTCTCTCCATGGAATCCTGTGCATGTGCAGTCCAGCAGTTTCAGAATTGCTATCTTCACAAAAACAGAGAAATATACAGAACCACTCATAGTAGATTGCAGTAGTTATACTTCACTGGAGATATGTTTTTTTTCTTGGAAGAAATTCTGGGCTCCTGTGTTAAAAGCTGTATCTAGAAAGCACATTTTACAATTCTGATGTAATGAAGATCAGTTGAACAAAGTGTTCTTTATCACCATACCCAGCCCTTTGTGTTGCCTCAAATCAGTGAAGAGCAGTGCAGTGTGATTTCAGTCATAGAGTGAGTTACATGGGAGAGATTGGGGAATAAGTGTCCTAAGCACTTCGAAGGTAAAGGGAGTGTGTTGTTTCTGGTAAACAATATTTTCTCCACTGATGCATTCTGGGAACTTTCTGGCATTTCCTTCAAGGTTTTGAATAATCTTTTTGTATTGTGTGTGCGCGCGCGCATGTTGAATAGCCACTTTTATGAGAAGACTGGGATGATACTTTTACAGCCCTCTTATTAATTCAGTTGGGTATTTCAACCTGGTCCATCCTAAAGAAGCTTAACTTTATGGTAGTTAATATACAGCATTCCAGCAACTCAGTGTTCCTAACATATTATAACATTTCACCTCATTAGATCATCCCCTTGCAAGTACACATGAGAGCAAATTGAGCAGTCTTGTTGTGTTCATTGTGGTGTGGGTTTAAGATACTTAACCCACATAAAAAAACCCTTATGACAATGGTAAATGAACTTTCCCCAAATGTTTTTGAGGACCTACACAGCATAGCCAATGGTCAAGGGTTGTGGGAGTTCAAATCCAAACTGCCTGGAGGCCAAACATTAAGAATCCTTACTTTAGAAGGGTATACTGTATTCTGTATGAACCTCCTACTGTAAGATTTATTGTGGGGATGGTTGCCAAGAAGGCTGGTAACCATTTTATTAAGGTTCTTCTGAGAAAGGGCTTCGACTGAAGAGCCAGACCTCTTCCGCTGTGTCAGAGTAATACATTCCTTCTTAAAAGAAAGAAAAATCCTATCTTGCTGTTTAGTGTTGTTATAAAAAATTAAATCAGGTTTATATTCATGATTGCCTGTTCCATGCCATTGCTCTCACCCAGACAGCATTTGCCAAAGAATTTCTTAAATGGCGTCAGCACATCAACATCAACATGATAGATGTAATGTCAGTGGTATCAAGTCCCACACTAGAAGTATTAGTGGATCTCCTAAGTAACTGAAATTTAGAACTAAGCCATTAGTTTGAGTTTCCATATGAACAAGAATCAAAATCATCTTGGGAGAATTTTAATCCTGTGTATGACAGTAGCTTTACAAAAGCTCCTAGCTGCAGGTAGAGAGGGGGAATATTAAGGGACTACTGTTGGCAGCACTTTCAAAGTAACACATTACAAGTAATATGGTAGAGACAGAGTGACTTCTTAAAAACATTTTAAAGCCCTTTCAGAGGCATTTGGTAGAATTTTTTCAGTTTTCTGTTAGTCTCTGTTAGATACAGTTTTTCTTAAAGTAAAGTAAAGTTATGAAAAGTAAGCAACACAACAAGCAATGCAGTGAGTTGCTTTGAAGCAGATTACTTTTCAAAGAGTAGAATGCATAAAAGGAATGAATTATTTTTTAAAAATGAACTTTGCAACATTTGGTCATGAGTACCATGGTTTTGTAAATTTGTCAGGAGTTTTAATAACAGATACACATTTTTTTCTCTTAAGCTTGAGTGTATGCATTGCTAAGATACATATATTAACTTGCATAGGCTGAAATCCAGCGGTACGTTGGAACTAAATAGTCCCATTGAATAAATGGAACTTGCATAGGTTTTGACTCACTACAAACCTCCACTGATTCAGTTGGCCTGTTCTGCTTGCAACTTACTGCTAGATTTCAGCTACAGATTTCCCCTAATATATATTCTCCCATGCATATGCTTCATTCTCTATTGGATGCTGATGCCCAAGCAGTTTGGAAAGGTTCAGCCCTATATGCAGAATTAAAATTTAATGTTGACATCAAGGGATGTCAGAAATGTGTAGCATTTTTATTTCCAAACTACAATTTGTTTCACTCATATTTATGTTCCAGGCCATGTTCTGCAGATTTTTAGGAGCTTGGTCTAAAATGCAGTCACTTGTCAATTAGGAGTAGTGGGAGAGGTGACCAGACCAACTCAGTTCTGTATCTATCCACTCCACATATCACTATTCACTCCCACATCCCTTCAAGAGAGTTAAAATGCCTGTCATCTTCAAAGTGTGCAAGTCATCAGCTGAGCAAGGATTAAATGTTTGCTGTTCTTTGTTTTCTTCCATGTTTAGCCACTAAGGAATGCCTATTCTGTATTCCTTGAATGAAAATTGTGAGTAGAAAAGAGCATTTTGCTCATTGTTTCTTTAGTAAAGAATAGATTAGTTACTCTAAATCTCAGGGTTATCCACATTTTCACCTTATTATCCTTGTTGCTTCCAGAAAGCTTAAAGTGATAGCAGGATCAATCAGTTACTGATCAGGAATAGTGATCTTTTTCCAATAATGCAAATGATAATTATTGATCTTGGATGCTCTCCAATAATGTGGGTTTTCCAGAAGACTTTGAATTGAAATTCCAATGTCTTATTTATGTGACTTATTTTTACTAGACAAATGTTCTTAACACCCCAAGAGTCTGCAAATATTTCAACATAAATACTTAGTTAGGGGGAAATGTAATTTAAATATTATTTGCAATTTAATTCAAAGCTTTATATGGAAATTCTTTGTATTAGAATTTTTTTATTAGAACAAGTCTTTGACTTGTTTAACAATATGTACTTTCCTGACATTTGTTTAAATTTAAAAAGAAAAAGCACCTTTGACACTTACGTTTTAGCACAGCCAAAATTAATGTTGTATATTATGCTCAATTTATTTAATGTATATATT